AGCCAATCCTGAGCCATTATCTCACTTTGGGCCGCCCCCCTGAAGGTGCCCGCCGCCCCTTGCCTAGCTCGGCCGGAGGCGCGGCCAAGGACTTGGCTGACCATGGCTGACCAAATCTCAGCTGGCCAAGCTTGGGGGGGTGATTTTGGAGGTCCCTAGCACCAGTATCCAAGCTTGGCCAGCCAATTCTGAGCCATTATCTCACTTTGGGCCGCCCTCCTGGAGGTGCCCGCCGCCCCTTGCCTAGCTCAGCCGGAGGCGCGGCCAAGGACTTGGCTGACCAAATCTCAGCTGGCCAAGCTTGGGGAAGTGATTTTGGAGGTGTCTAGCACCAGTATCCAAGCTTGGCCGGCCATTTCTGAGCCATTATCTCACTTTGGGCCGCCCTCCTGGAGGTGCCCGCCGCCCCTTGCCTAGCTCAGCCGGAGGCGCGGCCAAGGACTTGGCTGACCAAATCTCAGCTGGCCAAGCTTGGGGGAGTGCTTTTGGAGGTGTCTAGCACCAGTATCCAAGCTTGGCCAGCCAATTCTGAGCCATTATCTCACTTTGGGCCGCCCTCCTGGAGGTGCCCGCCGCCCCTTGCCTAGCTCAGCCGGAGGCGCGGCCAAGGACTTGGCTGACCAAATCTCAGCTGGCCAAGCTTGGGGGGGTGATTTTGGAGGTGTCTAGCACCAGTATCCAAGCTTGGCCGGCCATTTCTGAGCCATTATCTCACTTTGGGCCGCCCTCCTGGAGGTGCCCGCCGCCCCTTGCCTAGCTCAGCCGGAGGCGCGGCCAAGGACTTGGCTGACCAAATCTCAGCTGGCCAAGCTTGGGGGGGTGATTTTGGAGGTGTCTAGCACCAGTATCCAAGCTTGGCCAGCCAATTCTGAGCCATTATCTCACTTTGGGCCGCCCTCCTGGAGGTGCCCGCCGCCCCTTGCCTAGCTCAGCCGGAGGCGCGGCCAAGGACTTGGCTGACCAAATCTCAGCTGGCCAAGCTTGGGGGAGTGATTTTGGAGGTGTCTAGCACCAGTATCCAAGCTTGGCCAGCCAATTCTGAGCCATTATCTCACTTTGGGCCACCCTAACCTGGTTTGTGGAGCTCCCGCAGATGTTCTGACAGAGACCTGGCCGTTCTGACAGCGTTCTGACAGCGTTCTGACATAGGGTTCTGAGGGTCGGATTTATTTAATTAAGAGCTTTTAAGAAATGAGGAGGTTTGGGGGCTTAAATTGCACGCGTCGCTGCGTTCCGCGCCGTTTTCTCCAATCAATACTGCCGTTATTAGGCACAAAAACCCGCCCCTCTGAAGACACATCTGCAAGTCTGGTGCACTGGCAGGAGCCATACTATGCATAGGGGACGCGTGCTAGCTGCTAGGCTAGCTGATTGTAGCTAGCTACCCGGCCTCCGGCGTCTACCCTGGAGCTCCATCCGGGACCATCGACCTCGGGATTCAGAGGCGTGCCCCCCCGAGGCGTCTACCCTGGATTCAGACTTCGCTTTAGTGAGGCCAAAGTGAGTTTGTGGATGTGTGAGAACGATGCACGACACGAGGAGGCACGCGGACCGACTCGTCGGCGACTCTGCTGCACGCCGTTTCAGAATTTTTCTCAGCGTGAGCGAGACGTGGAAGAGTGCCACCGTCGGGTAGGACACGGGTCGGCCCGGAGCATCAGAGTAGCCGTCGTGGTCGTGAGCGCCGGCCACTCCGGCGCCGCGTCGGCAACATGGGAGCATGTCCACCGCCACTTCGCGGTCGCAGCGCTTTTGTCGCCAAACGCCGCCATGTACCTAAATCGGGCAAACCCCATCGAGCTGCATATCGATTTCGACTTGACGGCGGGGGCCGGGGCGCATGGAGGCATCACGTCTCCATGCGCCCCGGTCAAGTTGGAGGATGGAGCCAGTGCGCAGTGGGGGGCTAGCAGGGCCCGGAGGGATGCGCAGAAGAAAAGTGAAGAGGTCATAATTGACCAAGAGGTGAAGCTCTCGGCCTCCGCGCTCCGGGTCGCAGACACACACTGAACATGCACATGGACACATGCAACCTTCTCAACGTAATTACCGACTCTTCGAATCCAGATGCCCCAAACCCGCAAAAACGCCTCCTTGCCTTACCCACCATCCCGTTCCGGCTGGCGCGCCCACTCCAACGGCTACGGCGAGAACGCCTGCACGCACGAACCCTGTGCGGCGTCGAGGAGCGGGACGAGGTTGCCGAGGAGGGACACCGCCAGTAACGCGGCGGCCACGTTTCGTTGACGCCTATGTGTGCAACGCGGGGTCTTTGGTTTCGACGGCCCTCGGCGCATGCCCCGTGCGCCTCGTAGCACTGGAGCGCACAGCGCATCTTCCACCGCCGCGCTGGAGTCCAGCTCCGCCGCCGCCCGCCTCTCCACCGCCAGCCTCGCTCGGTCCTCCGCCGCAGCCTACGTCGGGCGCGGGGGGGGCTTGCGAGCCGACCTCGCCTCGCGGCCGCCGAGATTTAGCCAAGACATCAGCAGGGGTAAGCGACGCAGCTCGACAGGCGGCGGCGGTGGCGGTGAGGGTGGCGGAGGCGGCGGGAAGCGACGGCGACGGAAACCACGGCGGTGGGGGCGAGGGTGGTGGGGGCGACAGCGGTGGGGTGGCGACGGCGTTGGGGGCGAGGGTGGTGGTGGGGGCGAGGGCGCAACGCCTGAGCCAAGCGAGCGGCCTTCTTCTCCGCCGCCGCCTGCAGCGCAAGTGGGCAGCGAGTGAGACGGGCATCACAGCTGACGAGTCACACACGCCTCGGGGGGGCACGCCTCGGCTCCCGCCTCCGCCTCCACCGCCGTGCGCGCTTCCGCCTCCGCCTGCGCGGCAACGGCCGCCGCCGCTTCCGCCCTTGCAGCCGCCGTCGCCCTCGCTGCGCCGGCGGCCTCCGCCACCGCGGCCGCCGCCACCGCCTCCGCCTCCCTCGTCATCGCCTCGGCCGCCGCTTGCGCCGCCGCCATGCTCCGCGCCGTGTCAAGCGCCACAGCCTTCTCTGCACGGGCCGCCTCGGCCGCCGCCGTCGCCTCCGTCGCCGCGGCCTCCGCCGCAGCCGCGCGCTGCGTGGCCTGTTCACACCGCGGCTCGCAGTGTGAAGAGGCGCCGCACACCGCCGCAGATCGCAGCTCACACATGTCGCCCTTCGGGTCGCTGCAGCATCTCCCGGCCGTCCCTCAGCCATCTCGCGGCGACATCTCGTGGCTGCATCTCCCGGCCATCTCTCCCGGCCATCTCTCTCGGCCATCTCTCTCGGCCATCTCTCGCCCCACCGCTCGGCCATCTCTCCCGGCCATCTCTCTCGGCCATCTCTCTCGGCCATCTCTCTCGGCCATCTCTCGCCCCACCGCTCGGCGCCTCTCTCGGCTACATCTTCGCCGCGTCGCGCGCGCGCACAGCCTCCGCGCACTCAAAACGAGCGCCCCGCACCGCCTCCTCCGCCTCAGCCGCCGCCGCCGCCGCCTCGGCCGCCGCCTCCAAAACCCTCGCCTCGGCCGCCTCCGCCCTCGCCTCCGCCGCCGCCGCGCTGCGCGCCGCCGCCGTACGTCCCTCGAGAGCGGTCGCAACCTCGGCGGCCGCGGCAGCCACCGCCGCGGCGCTCTCCGCGCGCGCTGCGTCCGCCGCCGCCGCCGCGTCCGCCGCCGCCCTTGCGCTCCGCCCGGCCGCCTCCTCCGCCGCCGCCTTTGCCTCTCGCGCCGCGGCCACCTCCGCCGCGGACCGAGCCACCTCCGCCTCCAGCAGAGCTTGCGCCCGCGCCGCCTGCGCTGAGGATATTGTCACGTTAGGATGAACATGACTATCACTCTTGTTACCGCGATTGCTCTTATGCCTCCGCCACTGCCGCCTCCGCGTCGTGCGCCACCGCCGCCGCCGCCTTGTCCCCCTCCGCCGTCCTCTCGGCCGCCGCCTTTGCCCTTTGCAGCTCCGCCGCCGCCTCCGCCGCCGCCTCCGCCGCCGCCTCCGCCTCCGCCTCCAGCTGAGCCGCGAGTCTCGCGGCCGCGTCCTAGTCTGGGGAAGTCTCGCTCAATCTCGGGGCGTCTCGGCGACGCTGGCTAGCGGACCGCTGAACATGGGAGTCCGAGTGCGGAGGAATGGCCGGAGCGTGCGAATGCCTCGACTCGCCAAGCCTCTCTCAGCACCTACCAGCCGCGGCCTGCGCCGCCTCGAGCGCGTCGTCCAACTCGCCCACCCGCTCGGCCGCGAACCGCCTGCCCGCCTGCTCAGAGCGCCGGCTGTGAAGAGACGCCGCCCACTCAGCCCTCAGGCCGCAAGATTGCCTGCCCGCCTCGAGCTCCGCCGACACCTCCGCCAGCTCGCTCTCACTCCTCGCCCTCGCCGTCTGTTCATGGGCGTGAACAGGGGCCGCTCACAGCTCGCTGCCTCTCCTCGCCCTCGCCTCTGACCCGCAGCTCGCCTCGGCTCCTCTCGGCTCCTCTCGGCTCCTCTCGGCTCATCTCGCCTCGCTCCGCTGCAGCGCTGCAGCGGCCGCAACCGCCCTCGTCTCGGCCTCGTCGCGTGCCTAGTCCGTAGGACTAATTCATTAATAGTGTCAACCAATGCGAATCAAAAGGCCTCGGCCTCGTCGCGTGCCGAGCGCAGCCTGACGGAGCGCGCCGCCTCGGCTCTTGCCGCCTCTCGTGCCGCCTCCCTCTCTGCCGCCGCCCGCTCCGCTGCGGCTGCCGCCGCCGCCGCAGCCTCCTCTGCGGTTTGCGCACGGGACGTCGCTGCGTCGCGCGCCTGAGGACAAGGAAAGGTCAGGTAAACGTATCTTCACACACCAGGCGGTGGGTCAAGGGCCAGGCAGCCCTCGTGGCTCCACGTCTAGAGACAGGAGCCGCACGGCATTCAAAGTGAAAGGCCCAGTGCCGTGGGTGAGCGGCGTGAGAGTGCGTGCGCGTGTGCGTGCGTGTGTGTGCCTGCGGATAGCGTGGGTACGAGCGCTGCGAAGAGCAAGCCAGCGGGAGACCGCCGATCGCGTGCCGTCTGGGCCTGGGATACTTGGCATATCTAGTTTCACGCGCCGCCAGCGCCTCGGCCGCCTCGGTTGCCTTTGCGCGCAGCGCGGTGCTCGTGCTGGTGAGGGCGGTTTTGCCCTTGGCCATGGTGTCGACGACGCGCTTGTGTGCCTCCTGTTCGACGATCACCGCGGGGCGCATCCGGCTCGGGCGGTGCTCCTGCCACGAAGTCTTTTGCTGGTCCGCACGCGCCGCTCGTATCGCAGCCTCGAGCTCGGAGGCTGCGACAGCGGCCAGCGCGGCGACGGCATCGGTATCGGCTCGGCGGCTCGTGGAGACGACTTTGCTCGTCGCGGCGAAGCTGGTGGCACTTGTGGCGTCACCCCTGGCGGCCGGTCTCGCTGGACTTGTGCCACCGGCCACGCTTGAGTCGCTCGTCGCGACGGCGGTGTCCATGAACGGAGAGCGCCGCCGCGCCATTTTCGGCACGCCGGTAGACGCGGCTGACCAGCCGTGAGGCAGGAGGAGCGCGAACATGGCCAGTAAACCAGTGGAAGGTCGAGGAACTGGAAGGTCGAGGAACCGTGAGTTCGTTTCAGAGAAAAAAGAATTCGCGCGGCCGGTGTGGGCGTGTGCATGTCGTGCGACTGCAGCAGATGACCGACGGTGACCGTGTGTATTATTATTAACAACGAATCCCGTACCATGCGGAATCGACCCTATCCAGTGCTCAAGTGCTCAACCTACCTAGGCTCTTGGGTGGCGCGCCCACTCGTCACAAACCTACAAACAAAACTGGCAACCCTGTCTGCACGTCTCGCGCGCGCGTGAACAGGGCTCCAGGCCCCAAATTACGTGTGAGTGTTAGAGTTGTTTGAAATTGCTAAAATCTCAAACCTACTTCGGAGGTGCGGCGGAGGTGTCGGGCCGCTGTCGGGCCATGTTCGCCGCTGCGACGAGGTCGCGCCGTGTGCTGTTCTCTCCTCCAAGCCGGCGTCTCGGCACGTCTCGCCTCACGCCTCGGCTCGGCCAGCCTCGGCCTAGCCCGCTGCTGCTTGGCCAACCTCGGATCGCCCCGCCTCTGCTGGCGCGGCCGGTCGCCCGCCTCCTGCAGAGCTCGTCTCCGCTCGCGTCGGTCGTGCCGGGCTACTGGACGGGGCTCGAGCCGCCGCGGTGCCCCGGCTTTGAGGCGGAGACGCAGACTCTCTCGTCGCTGCGGACGCCGGACCTGCGCCAGCGCGGCCCTGCGCTGCGCGAGGCGCTGGAGCACTACTTTGAGAACGGCTGGACCCTCACCGAGGTGCTCTTCTCCTCGCTGTCGGACGAGGCCGCCTTCTACCGGCCGCCTGCGCACGGGCTGCGGCACGCAATGATCTTCTACTACGGCCACCCCGCCGCTCTCGCGATCAACAAGCTGCGCGTCGCGGGCGCGATCGGCGACGGCGTCGAGCCGCGCTTCGAGGTCCTCTTCGAGACCGGCGTCGACGAGATGTCGTGGGATGACCTCGACACGCCGCAGACCGAGTGGCCGCCGCTGTGCGACGTGACCGAGTACCGCCGCGCGTGCCGCGAGGCACGCACACACACCGGGCCTCGCACTTTGAATGCCGCGGGGCTCCTGCCTTTAGACGTGGAGTCGCGAGGGGTGCCTGGCCCTTGCCCCACCACCCTCGTGTGTGTGAAAAGCTGGCCTTGCCTTGCCCCACCACCCTCGTGTGCGTGCAGACGCTGGCCTTGCCTTAGGTGTACCTCGACGTGGTGCGCACCCACCCGGCGCTCGACGAGCCGCTCGCCCGCGACGCGCCGACCGACGCGAACGCCGTCGTCTGGGCGCTCGGCATGATCTGCGAGCACGAGAGGATACACCTCGAGACGTCCACCACGCTGATCCGCGAGCTCCCCCTCGAGTCCGTGACGCGGCCGCAGCATTGGCCCTTTGATCACGCCTCGGCGTGGCAGCGGAGTGCGGGCGAGGCGGTGGTGGAGGCGCCGCAGCTGCGGCGCGTCGCGGGCGGCCACGTCACTCTGGGCGCGCCTCTCCCTGCTCCCGCTCTCCTCCCTACTGGCAGCCTCTCCCCCCCCCCCCCCCCCTCCCTCCCTGCCTGCTGCCTCTCCCTCTCTTCTCTCTCCTCCTGACGCCTCTCTCCCTTCGACCGAAGGCAAGCCGCGCACGCACGCCACCTACTCCTGGGACAATGAGTACGGCCGTCGGACGATCGGCGTCGAGGCGTTCGCGTGTGCTCTGGCCACGCCGCTCATGACACTGGAGGAGTCCAGCCTTTCCTCCCTCCCTCCCTGACTCAGGCGTTCGACTGCTCCGCCACGCCAATCACAAACGGCCAGCCGCTCCTCGCCATGTAGTGGCGGCTCTCCACGAGGAGCCACGGGCCCCGACAGTCTTCTGGGAGCCTGTAGGCCAGTTCCTCGCGTTTGTCAGGGCGGGAGGCTACGCCTCGCCCGAGCTGTGGACGGAGGAGGGATGGGCGTGGCGCTCCTTCCGCAACACAAAGTGGCCGCACTTTTGGGTGCCCGCAGGCCCGCCGGGGCTGCACCTGTGCAAGGCTGCGCCTGCCGCTTGCCGAGACTGATCTCTCCCCACTTCTCCCCACATCTCGCAGGCCCGCAGGGGCTGCACCAGTACAAGCTGCGCCTGCCGTTTGCCGAGACGGCGCAGCTGCCCGCCGCCCTCCCCGCCGAGGTGAACAAGCACGAGGCGTCCGCCTACTTGCGCTGGCTCTCGCTCGAGCTCGGCGCGCCGCTCCGCCTGCCGACCGAGGCGCCGAGGCCAATTCGGAGATTCACTCGTATTCATTCGTATTGAATAGCATCAAACGAGTCACGGTTATGGTAGGCCGAGTACCAACGCCTCCGGGAGGTGAACGCCGACGCGCAGCACGGCGGCCGCGGCAGCTGCGCGCGGGACGCGGCACGCGACGAGGCGCTCGACGACGCCGCCGCGGCCGACGCGCCGGGCTTGCGCGCGCGCGGCCTCAACCTCGGGTTGGCGTTCGGGTCGCCGAGCGACGTGAGCGGCGGGGCGCAGGGGGCGCTGCCCTTCGCCTCGCTCGCGGGCAACTGCTGGGAGTACTGCGAGGACTGGTTCGCCGCGCTGCCTGGCTTCAAGGTGTCGCCCCTGTACGAAGACTTCTCGACGCCGTGCTTCGACGGCCAGCACGCGCTCATTGTCGGCGGCTCGTTTGCCGCCACGGGCAATGAGGCGTCCGTCTTCTCCCGCTTCCACTTCCGGCCGCACTTCCACAACCTCGTCGGCTTCCGCGCCGTCCGCGGCACCTCCAACCCCGAGCTCTCGTCGCACGACGCGCCCCCGCCGTGGGCGGCGGGGTGGGTGCCGCCGCGCTATGTCCGCGGCGGCGGCGCCGACGCGGAGGAGGGCAACCACAAGTACGAGTCGGCGGCGCAGCTCTCCGCCTACCTCGACTTGCACCACGGCGGCGCCGGCGCACTCGACGGGCCCGCCCTCAGGCGCCGCCGCTGCCCTGCCCGCTCGGCCTCGCTCTCACCTTCGCCTCTTCGGTCTCGCCCCACTCGCCTTCCCACGCCGTCTCCTCCTCCCCCCTCCTCCCCCCTCGTCCGTCGGTCCTCCCCCCTCACCCTCCCTCACCCCCCCTTGTCGGCCCCCGTCAGCCTCCCCCCCCCCCTCCCGCCCGCCCGCCCTCAGCCTCGAGAGCCTCGACTTGCGTCTCGCACTCGACTTCCCCGCCCGCTGCGCCGGCGTCCTCGCCGCCGCGACTCAGGCCGAGCCGCAGGCCGACCCGACCTCCGCCCGCGCCCTCGATGTCGGCTGCGCCGTCGGTGGCTCGTCATTCGCCCTCGCGGAGAGCGGCGCGCCGCTAGAGGGGGAGAGCGGAGCAGTCTCGCACCGTCTCCCTCCCTCGAGCCTCGCTCGCCCCCTCCCCCTCAGGCGCGTTTGCAGACGTCGTCGGCATCGACTACGCGCAGAGCTTCGTCGACGCCGCCGCCGCGCTCCACGCCGCGGGAGAGCTTCGGTACGTCCGGTCCGGCGAGGCCGGCGGCGCGGGCGCGGCGACCGCCGCCCGCGTCGCCGCGAGCAAGGCGCGCCTCTCCTTCCGGCGCGCCGACGCGTGCGACTTGCCGGGCGACCTCGGCGCCTTCGACGCCGTCCTCGCCGCCAACTTGCTCTGCCGGCTGCCCGACCCGGCGAGCTTCCTCGACGCCTTGGGGGGCGGGCTCGTCGCGCCGCGCGGCCACGTCTACATCGTGAGCCCCTTCAGCTGGATGGAGGAGTACACGGCGCGGGGGCGGTGGCTCTCGCCGGAGCAGCTCGAGGACAAGATGGGCACCCTCGGCTTCTCGCTCAAGATGCAGCGGCCCGAGGCGCTGCTGATCCGGGACCACGCGCGCAAGTTCCAGTTCATCGTCTCGCACGGCATGCTCTTCCAGAGGGGCGCGCGCTGAGGGGCCCGGCGTGCGTCGGCGAGCCGGGCTGGGGGCGGGCCCTCGCCTCTCGCCCGCGGAGACGTCGTGGCGACTCGCTTTCGGCCTTTGTAGGTTAGGTAGGTAGGTAGGTAGCAGCCGTCGGCGCGTTGGCCTCGGCGTACCGAGCATGCGGGATCACCCGAAACCATCTCCTTTCGCGGCCAAAAAAATGATTGTTGGGCTACTCTTATCTCTTCTGTCTGTGCCCGTCTTGTCCTTTCGCCTGCAGAAACGACCGCTCTCCGTTTGGTAAGGTAAGGTAAGGTAAACTTCTCCACACACACGAGGTGGTGGGGCAAGGGGGGGCAACCCTCGCGTCTCCACGTCTGACGACAGGGTTAGCAGTGACGTGAGACACACACACACACACACACACACACACACACACACACACACACACACACACACACACACACACACACACACACACACACACCGCTCACCCACGCGCACTGGGCCTTGCACTTTGAATGCCGTGGGGCTCTCCGTTTACGGCGCGGGGCCCACGGCGACGAGCAGAACCAAAGAAAGAAAACAGACAACCCAAGCCCCAAGGGAGGGATGGGAGGACGGCACGCCGCCACCACACAGGGATTTTAAGGAGAGGTGTGTGATGCGCTAGCCGTCGCCCACCCTAGGGAGTCTGCCTCTATCTCTCTTCGCAGTCTCTCGCCGCTTCTCGCTGCAACCTTCATGCCACCTCGCGGTCGTCCCACTCTCGTCGTTCTCTCCCTTGTCATTTCCTCCTCTGTCGCGTCGTTCTCTTCTGCCTCGTCCTGTTTTGTTTTGAAGGTTCATTGAGAGTTCCGGCCTGCTGAGCGGGACGCAATCGACGAAGCACCTCCTCATTAAAAATGGAGCTCGCACTCCTCTCCACCGTTGCGCTCTCGCTCTCGGTGTGCCCTCGCCTGCGTGTGCCCTTCCCGACGACGGCACCGCTCGCTGCAGACGTCCTCCAACCCTCTCCCACACGCACCACTCACTCGCGTACGCCGGCTCTGCGCCGCTCGCGGTTCGTCACCTCCTCTCACACACACCCGACGCCGCCCACCAGGCCGTCCAGCCCGCGCCCGGCCTCATGAAGCTCCGTGGCGGCATGTCGCTCGGCCCGCTCAACCCCGGCAACTTTGAGGGCGGCATGAAGGTCGCGGCCGCCATCACCGCGGCGGGCGCCGTCACCTCCAAGTACGCCGACGTCGGCGAGACGCAGCTCACCAAGCTCTTTTCGGGTGATGTGTGGAACACCAACCTGATCATCTCCATCGTGACGGGCGTCACTTCGACGGTCGTCTACTCGGTGGGCGGCTCGGCCTTCGGTGCGCTTCCACCGCTCGCGCTGCGTAGCTCCCGCCTCCCGCCTCCCGCCTCCCGCCTCCCGCCTCCCGCCTCCCGCCTCCCGCCTCCCGCCTCCCGCCTCTCACCGTCTCCGCGCACGCCTCGCCTCCAGACGCCGCCAAGCTGACCGCCGTCCTCTGGGCGGTCGGCCTCCTCTCCAAGCTCAAGAACAACAACTTCGACGTGGGCACGCTCAAGGACAACCCCGTCGAGACGGTCGTGGCCGCAGCCGCCGCCTACCTGGCCTTCGCCTAGAGCCAACTGGGCGCCGAGGGGCGCGCGCCGCGAGGAGAGGCGTCCACAGACCGCCCTCTCCGACAGGACCAAGCCGCGGTGACCCGGTGGCCCCTTCTTATGGCCTCGCTCGCCCGTACTGTGCATGCATGTCCATGTCGCACATGCCCATGTCGTCCCCCGTGTGTCTTTCAGCATGTGTCGTGTAGGTAGTTCTGTACGCTGCGTGCCTGGGGTCGGGCTGTCTCCTGGGTCGTACAGTACCGATATCCGCGGCTGGCGTCCGTGAATGTGAAACCCTGGAGGTCCAACTGCCTCAGCAGCCTGCTTTGCGGGGGCGGAGCGCGGTTCGCTGGTCCCAATGGCGACGCCTGCGGAGAACGACGTCACGTTGATGCGAAACTCTCTGCGGCACGGCACGGCCGGCGTGGACGTGATCGCGAGCGACGTTACCGGCACGGCCAACGTGAGCGATCCCGCGGCGGCGGCGGCGGGCGCAGCGGCCGCTCTCGTCGCGGCTGGCACTGCGGCGAGCAATGCTGCGGGCGCTGCGGCGGGCGCTCCGGCGGCCGCGGGCAAGACCCGAAAGCGCAAGGCACCGATGCGAATGCCGCGCTGGTCCGACTCGGAGGAGGAGCTGCTCCTGGCTCTGGTGATGGCGTCGCGAGCGGGCGGCACGGCCGGCGCGGACTACTGGCAGGAGATCTCGACCCGGCTCGGAAGCGGCCGAAGCGCCGCCGCGGTGCACCAGCACTACGAGATCCTCATCGGGACGCGGCGGAGCGGAAAGGCGCGGGTCCCCAAGACGAGCGGGTTCGTGGCCGACCCAAGGGTTGCGGCGGCGAGGCTAGCTGCAGCGGGCGTCTCGGCCGTCTACCAGCCCCTCCCTCCGCACGTGCCGGGCGCGGAGCTCATCAACGAGCGGAACCGGGTGCGGTATGGCCCGGTGGCCGGCGCGGTGCCTGTGGCGGGCACGCTGCCCGTGGCGGGCACGGTCGCCCTCGGGTCGTGGGCGTTCCCCTTTGCGCCTGCGCCCGCGCCCGCGCCGATCTCGACCGGCCCGCCCCTCGCCGCCCGCGGCCTCGAGACGTTCATCTCGGACGACGCCAACGGCGCGTGCGGCGGCAGCGGCGGCGGCGGCGCGAATGGCGGCGGCACGGATGGCGGCGGCGCCGTGGCGGCAGGAGCGGAGGCGGCGGTCGGCGACGGCGGCGAGGCGGCGGCGGTGGGTAGGGAGGTCGACGCGGGCGGCGAGGCGGGCGCGCCTCTCATCGTCGCGTGCCCGCAGTGCCACCACCAGCTCCGCGTCCGTGCGGCCGACACGGGCGGCGGCACCGTCTACCAGTGCCCGCGCTGCGCCGGTCGCTTCCGACTCGGCGTCCAAGCGCCAGCAGCGCCAGCAGCGCCAGCAGCGCCAGCAGCGCCAGCAGCGCAAGCGGCGCAAGCAGCGCCAGCTGCGCCAGCGGCGGCGGCGGCGGCGGCGGCGGCGGCGGCGGCGGCGGCAGCGGCGGCAGTCGCCCCGGCGCAGCCTCCCATCCCGCCGACCGCCGCGGTGCATGCGCCGCCGCCGCCGCCGCACTTGCCGCCGCTCCCGTCGCACCTCCCGCCTCCGCCGCCGCTGGTCCCGCTGTACGATTTGGCGCAGGTGCAGCCGCCGCCGCCGCCGCTCCTGGGCTTGGCAAGCTGCTCCGCCGATTAGGCACAAGCGACGGCGAGTCGGAGTCCAGTCCGCAGTCGGCGGGGCCGGCGAGGTGCGCTACGACGTACGACGTACGTCGTACGAGTCAAGGCAGACCGGGGTTGTGCGCGCAAACCCCTTGCATGACGTGTCACTGTCGGCGGGGGAGATGACGTGTTATTTTGCTGATTTATATTGGCGGAGTCGCGCGCGCTCTCCCTCCACATCGCGCGCTCACTCGCTCCGCCGAGGTCGCGACACACTCGAGACACACGTCCCACAGCTCTGCGCCACGCACCACGCACGCAGGCCGGCTCTACACCCCACGCGCCACTCAACACCAATCACCTACTTAGCTCCCAGATCCTTCCTCACCTCCTCGCGCAGAGCCGCCGCGAAGGCAGCGACGCGCGCGCCCCAGTCTGGTGCACGGCTAGCTCCGCCGCCGACACTGCCGCCGCCGCCGCTGCCGCCGCTGCCGCCGCTGCCGCCGCTGCCGCCGCCGCTGCCGCCGCTGCCGCCGCCGCCGCTGCTGTGGCTCTGAGCCCCGCTGCTGCCACCGCCGCTGCTGCCAACGCGGCTCTGACCGGCTGCCCGCGCTGCCGCCTGCTCCATCGTCGCCTTCATCTTTCCGGGCGCCTCGGCAATGTTCCTGTCGGTGGCTTTCGCCCACGCGCGGAAGCGCGGGCTGGAGACCAGCGTCTCGCGGATGTAGTCCTGGGCGAGGCGCGCGACGACTCGTCCCAGCATCCCTTCTGGCACCGTTCGCCCCTCCCCCCCTACGGTTCGAGAAAAAAGAATTGGCAACAAATTCATGAAGGCGCCCAACAATGCAGCGGACTGGGAGAAAATAAAATCATCTCTTCTAAGTTCAATTCGACTTAAGAAAAAGAATTTCCAACCCGCGTTGCATTGGCCGGCCCGGCGGGCGCGGTTCGCTGGCGATTGCGCCGTGCGCACATGGCCTGCCGAGGTTCGCTGCGTGATTCCTCCGGCACGTGGCGTACGCAGACACGCATGGTCCCTTCCGGCTATCAAGCCGCCCTTCGCAACAGCTCGAACCGGGCAATGCTTCCTCGCAAAGCCTACGGCCATGCACACTACCTTGCTCCGTGCAACCGTGTGCACAAGTTCGCGGAGCGCAACGTGTACGTCCAGCAGAGCGGCTGCACGCGCCTCGAGGTCTCGACACTTACACACGGGGCGCACCTGGCGGCCTTTCCTCTGGAGACGTTACCTGCCCGGCCGTAGGTGACCGACGCAGTCGCACGCCTCGGCCGAAGGCCGTTGACCTTTGTCGGAGACTCCCTCTCCAACCAGCTGTGGGCCGCGTCCGCGCTGGCGCACAAACAGGTATTTGGGAGCGGCAGCCAGTGGCCAGATCTGCACCAGTGGTTCTGCGTCCCGGAGACGCACACTGCGCTCCAGACGCTGCTTGAGCGTAGCGGGCTGCTCGCACCCTCCGTGGCTGGCGGTGGAGGAGGAGGTGTCTTGGTGATCAACTTTGGCATGTGGTACAACCGTGCCGAGATTGCATGCCCTTGCGAGCCGGACACCAATGAGGCGCATTGCGTGGACGAGCCGGGCGAGGTGATGGGCCAGGCGACGGGGACGGGCGGGTGAGCAGTAGGGCGATTGGGGAGGGACAAACGCCCAGAATGTGGACTCATTTGACGTCACCTTGCTGCAGGAAGGGTGGGGGGCGGCGAGAGTCGTATCCCGCCTACCGCGCTCCACCGGCCCAGGTGCTGCGCGAGATCTGGGCCAACCGATCGAGGCGCCTAGTACTCGAGTAGCAGCAAACTTCGCTTACACACACACACACACACACATATATACACACACACACACACACACACACACACACACACCGGCGTTGCCTTGTACATTTTGGGGCTCCATTTCACGCGAATAGAGCGCACCATTGCCCCGCACTTACCTCGCTCAGCCTTAAGCGTTGTCTTAGGCTGTGCCGGTCCCCGCCGCACCCGCCAGGTCGTTGGCTGCCCGGCGTCGCAGACGATTGCGCCAGGATCGACCGCGATTTGGCCTGCAAGGATCGGGTGGTACTCACATCAATGATGGGGCACGCAGTGCGTCTGCCGAGTGCGACTGTAACGTCTCTTCACTCGTGCAACCGTGAACAGGTACGGCGGGGCGACCGATCGGCGGCGCCCATCGGGCCTCACGCAGTGCGACTACGCCAGCGACCTAGCGCGCATCGCGGCCTTCGTCGAGGCAACCCGCTCGGCCACACCGTGCTTGTGAGCCAATCTCTGGCGACCTCAGCCCAAGCTTCGTTTTTCAGGAGAACCGCGCGTCGCTCCCGCAGCACATCTTTGCAACCGACACGCTGCCACAGCACCCGCGAACGGACGCTCGGGCGCGTGTTCGTGAGCTGACACGGCTTAGCGTGCGTGAGGCTGGCCACTGGCGCAACGCGATCGCGCGTCGCGTGTGGGTGCGCTCTCCGCCAAACCCTCGACATTGGACCGAATGCTTCGGGGTGATGATCTTTTGACGTCCTTGATGAACCAGGCGCGCCACGCCCCGTCCGTGCCGTATCTGACCTTGGAAGACGTCGCAGCAGACCGAGGGCGCGACGCTCACCTCGATCTCGCACATTACTGCATCGATGCGCCCCCATTCGAGACTACTCTCGCACTTTTGCTCACAGCTGTCGTGGCGCACGTGGAAGGGGAGGGAGCGCGACAGCCCGCGCCCCGGCTCTCTGTCTAAGGACCCCCAAACGGGAGACCTTGAGAAGAGCACGTTGCGAAAGGGCACCCCCGAGCAGCCCTGCTGTGTTACACACACGCTTCACCTAGAGGGACGGAGACGCTTTGGGGCAGTTTTGGAGCTGCGCACGATTGGATCCAGCTTCCAGGTCTTTCTTAGAGGGGTTTTGCTAAGCGTATTTCCCCCGCTGTATGTCGCCCCGTATGCGCAAATTCGGCAGTTCCGGATACGCGTATACCTGTATTCGCCACGAATATAGATACGGCCACGCACCATTGTGTTCAGAGATCCGCGGGCTAAGGTAAGGTAAGGTCGCGAGGTAAACTTCTCCACACACACGTCTGGCGGGATATCCAATCGGCGGGCGTGTGCGAGAGCGCGTCAGCTATCTCGGAGCGAGTGGGCCCAAACGTGGCCTGGCCCAGGAAGCGCGCCGCGAGCGTGTCATTGGCTACAGGCTCCGCCACGACGACCTCGAGCGCGAACGAGATCCGATCCGTCTCATCAGAGGCAGAGGAGGAGGGCAGCTGCGCCTACCAGAGTGGCTCCGAGCGATGCTAGCACTGGCAGAGCGGGCGCAAGGCGGGGCGCGCGGGGGTGGGGGTGGGGGTGGGGGTGGGTGGGGGGGTGGGGGGGTCGCGAGCGGACTAGGCCCGGCACCTCGCAGGACTCCTCGTCGCAGGTCCACGTCAACGGCGCCCGGATCTTGGCCGACTCCCACTCACGGCCGTTGTAGGAGCGACCGTACATCGTCTTGAGGCCTGAAGTGGAGGTGCCCCAGAGCAGTAGCATCTCCCCCTCGGTGGACTTGAGCAGGCGCGTCGGCCCGCCAGGCGCGTGCGGCGGCGTGGGTGTAGATGGCGGCGGTGGCGGCGAAGGAGTTGGAGGCGGGGGCGGCGGAGAGGGAGGCCAGGCCGGCGGGGCAGGCGGCGGGGAAGGCGGAGGCGGCGGAGGCGGGGCTTCAGGCACCGCTGCCTCCTCTCCCACCACCACGCGTATCTTCTGCCCCATCATGCAGTGAGGCTCGCACACGATATAGAGGGTGCCGGGCTGTGTCACCACCGCCTCGAAAACATTTGGCCACGCCGTGCCACAGCCGCCCTCAAAATCGCCGGGGCATCCCTGGTTGAACGCGCCGACCTGCATTCCGCTGCTCAGGTCACATGCGCTGTAGGCCTCCATCGTGTCGCCCTGCCAGCGGGTGGGCCGGGCGGGTGAGGCTGCCATAACGGCGGCTGCGCAGCCGGCGTGTGACAGGGGGTGTCGACACTAGAGAGGAGGCTGCTCGCCTCGTTGCCACTGGCAATGTAGGGTACGAAGACAGAGTGCATGTTGTTGTAGCGGAACTGCAGAGTTGTGTTGACTTCGACCACCCACTTGCCGTTCGGGCCAGATCCTGTTAGCGAGTCGCCCATTGGGTCGTTCCACCAGGTGGGGGATACACCGATGACGGTCGTCGACGTCGATGCTCTACGGCATTCGGCCCAGTTCGGCGATGCCCTACTACAGAGTGTCTCAGGCGACAGCGCTGGCATGCCAGTCGGGTCGAATGTCGCGGCTAAACCAGGCGGCACGGGCCCGATGGGCGCGCTTGCTTTTTCGAGTTCGCATTGTCGTTACGACTGTCTCTAGACACACGATGGACCGACTGGAAGTCGGTGCACCGCTGTGGAGGAGCGGCGTCTCCGATCGGGCCGGGCTGCGCTTACACGTTACGGATCGATCGGAAAAAAAACGTCCCTGAGATTGCATTGATGTCGTTCTCCTATGCCGTGGATCGCGTCACACAATCACCACAGTCCCGGGGGGCGGGGGGGGGGAGGGGTGTGTGAGTGAGTATTCTTGATGCGAAACCACGACGACACACACCAGTCGACTCGCATCGGTTGCCTCCACACACACACACGCAACTGGGAGGGCCAATCAACCTCGAGACCTCGAGACCGGCCCCCCCGGGCGCTCACTCTTCCTGCGGTTCGCCATCACGCGAGACGGAGTAAGGCCCTCCGATACAGTTGTATGGGCGTGCCGCTGCTCTACCGCTGGCTCAGCGAGCGCTACCCGCTCATCAACCGGCCGGCCTCGTCGCCGCCCTTTGCCGAGGTGGACAACCTGTACATCGACGCGAACGGCATCCTCCACAACGCGACCCACGGGGCCAACAAGCCTCCGGCGCGCAACGGCGCTGCCGCGCCGACCGAGGCGGACATGATGCTCGCCATCTGCTCGTACCTCGACACGCTCGTCCAGCTCGTGCGGCCGCAGCGGCTGCTGTACGTCGCCATCGACGGCGTCGCGCCGCGCGCCAAGATGAATCAGCAGCGGCAGCGCCGCTTCCGCGTCGAGCGCGAGCGCGAGCAGGCCAAGGAGGCCGAGGAGGCCGAGGCGGAGGCCAAGCGACAGAGGCTCGCCGAATCCGCGGCCAGCGGCGGCGCGGCGGCGGGCGGCGCCGCGCCCGCGCGAGGGCGCACCGCACCGGCGGCACCGGCGGACGAGCCGGACGAGGCGGCTGCTGCCGTGGCGGGCGGCGCGGGCGAGGCGGCGGCGGATGCAGGAGCAACGGAGGCGGCAGCAGAGGCGGCAGCAGAGGCGGCGGCGGCGGCGGCGGCGGAGTCGGAGGCGGCGGAGGCGGAGGCGGCGGCGGCGGAGCCCTTTGACTCGAACTGCATCACCCCCGGGACCGCCTTCATGGCGCGGGTGACGGAGGTGCTGAGCTACTTCATCCGGCACAAGCTTCAGACCGACGAGCTCTGGCGCCGGCTGCGCGTCGTCCTCTCCTCGGCCGAGGCGCCGGGCGAGGGCGAGCACAAGATCGCAGAGCACATCCGCTCGGCGCGCGAGCTGCCGCGCCGCCACTGCGTCTACGGCCTCGACGCCGACCTGATCATGCTCGGCCTGGCGACGCACGCGCCGGCGCTCTGCATCCTGCGCGAGAAGGTTGTGTTTCGGCGCGCGTCGGCCGACGACCAGCGCAAGCAGTCGCTGGCGGCGACGGGCGAGTTCGTGTTGCTGCACGTCGGCCTGCTGCGGCGGTACATCGACCTCGAGTTCCGCAGCTCGGTGCTCCCCTTTGGCTACTCGCTCGAGCGCGTGCTCGACGACCTCGTCGCGCTCTCGTTCCTCGTGGGAAACGACTTCCTCCCGCACCCGCCCGGGCTGCAGATCGAGAACGACGGGCTCTCCCGCCTCTTTGCCGCCTACCGCAAGCTGCTGCCCGCCCTCGGCGGCTACCTCGTCGAGGGGCGGGCCCCCGTCGGGCTGCGGCTCGGCCGGCTGCTCGCCGAGGTTGCGACCAGCGAGCTGCAGTACCTCGTCGACCACCCCGAGGCGGCGGGCGCGCCACCCGACGGCGCAAAGGAGGACGAGGAGGGCGAGCCGGAGGCGGCGGCGGCGGCGGCGGAGCAGGACGACCGCGAGGCGCGCGAGGAGGCAAAGGCGCACGCCGAGGAGGAGGAGGCGAGGCTCGAGGCGCTCGCGGACGCTCCGGCGCCGGAAAGCGACGGGCGGGGCGGCGCGGGCGGCGGAGAGGCGGAAGAGCGCGCCCGTGCGATCCTCGCCCCCCCCGCCGCCATACCGTCACCCCCTTCCAACTCGCTCTCCACAGGCGGAGAGACTGCTCGTGCGGCCTGAGCCGCCCGCTGCGCCGTGGGGGCTCCCCGGAGGCTTCTCCTTCGCTAAGGTTCTCATGGGCGAGCGGCTAGCCAAAGCCGCCGCCGCATCCGCACCCGCGCCCGCCGCTGCACCCGCGCCCGCCGCTGCACCCGCCGCCGCCGCGCCCCCCTCGCCCGCCGCGGCGGACGACGAGGAGGAGGGCGTGCTGGGCGGCGCGAGCCGAGTGCTCAGGGGCATGCTGGGGCTGGCGCCGGCGGTGGACGCGCCGGAAGCGGCCGCCGCGGCGCTCGAGCTGGCAGGTGGGGGCGGCGCGGAGGCGGAGGGCGCAGCATCGCGCGCGGCGCGGCTGGCGGCGGCGGCGGCGGCGATCGCGGCGCTGCGCGAGGCGCCGCCGCTGACGGGCGCGGCGCTCGAGGGCTTGAGCGAGGCGGAGCGAGACGTCGAGCTCGGCGAGCGCATCTACGCGGTGCTGCAACATCTCGACGACGAGCGCGCGGGTGAGACGACGCCGGGGGGGCGGGATTGCGGCCTCGGCCCCTCGAGATGGCCCGCTCAGCCGCCCGGGGTGGACTGTGCGACGCAGGCAAGATGACGGGCATGCTGCTCGAGATGAACGACTCGGAGCTGCTCGAGCTCCTGTACGCTCCCGACGCGGCGGCGGCCGCCGCCGCCTTTGCCGACCTCGTCGACGAGGCGCGCGAGGTGCTCGCCGCCTACGACGGCTCCGCCGCCCCCCAGCCGCCGCCCTCGCCGCCGCCCTCGCCGCCGTCGCCGCCGCCGTCGCCGCCGCCGTCGCCGCCGCCGGCCGAGGAGTTCCCTGAGCTTCCAAACGGCGGCGGCCGCGCCGGCGGCGGCCGCGCCGGCGGCGGCCGCGGCGGCGGGCGCGGCGGGCGTGGGCGCGCGGCGGCGGCGGCGGCGGCGGCGGAGCCACCAACGGCGTTCCGGTGCCGATGCCGGTGGCTGCCGGCGGCGACACGGCGCGCGCGCCGCCCGACGCGTCCACGCTGCCGATGCTGGCGCCGGTGCCGGTGGCCACCGGAGGCGGCGGCGGGCGCGGCGGGCGCGGCGGGCGCGGCGGGCGCGGCGGGGGGCGCCTCCGGCGGGCCGGGCGGGCGACC